ATTACACCACTACACTTCAGGGATGCATTGTGGTCGTGTCTAGGCGCAGGTCCTCCATTTGATCTGGATACGGCCCGGATCCGGCTGACTACATTAAACCTTGGAATAGTTGTTTGGAAACCTTTGAGCGCTGTTGAGCGGAATCGTAAACACCTCTGATTGGCTAATGTGGTCATGCGCTCATCGGATATGTCTGTGATTGGCTACAATGATCATCGGGGCGTGAATAAATATAGAGCTGAGTATCATCAGCATAACAGTGAAAACTAATGCCATGCTTCCTAATGATATCTCCTATTGTAGCATGCACAGGGTGAAAAGCAACAGTCCTATTACTGAGCCTTGAGGTACTCCAAACTGAACTTGTGATCGGTATGACACCTGTTCATATACTGCTACAAACTGATAACGGTCAGATAAGTATGATTTAAACCATGCCAATGCAATTCCACTAATGCCAACATAATTTTCAAGTCTATTCAAAAGAATGTTGTGGTCGATAGTATCAAATGCAGCACTAAGATCGAGTAACACTAATAGAGAGAAACAACCAAGATCGGATGATAAGAGCAAATAATTTGTAACTCTAATAAGAGCAGTCTCAGTACTATTATATAGTCTACATCCTGACTAGAAATTCTCACTGATACCATTTATTTTGTCTAAAATAGAACACAGTTGCGTGAGGATACTACCTTTTTTAGTATTTTTGACAGAAGAAAGGGTAGATTCGAGATAGGCCTGTAATTGACTAATTCTCTAGGATCAAGTTGCGTTTTTACTTTTTTTAATAAGAGGTTTAATACTAGCCAGCTTAAAAGTTGTAGGTATGTATCCTAATGACAAAGATGAATTAATGATTTTAAGAAGAGGATCTTTGACCTCTGAAAGTATCTCTTTCAGTAGCTTAGTCAGTATAGGGTCTAACATGAATGTTGTTGATTTAGATTATTCAATGACTTTAGATAATTCTTCCTCTCCTATAGCAATGAATGAATTGAATTTTTCCTCATGGACACTACAATGATGCGATACTGTGGTAGACGGTTGCATGGTTATCATTTTCTTTCTAATATTATCAATCTTGCAAGTAAAGAAGTTCATAAAGTCATTACTGCTGTGCTGTTTGAAGCTTTATTTCTTGTTAATTTAGCCACTATATCAAATAAATACCTAGGGTTGTGTTTGTTTTCTTCTAAGAGAGTCAAAAAATAAGCAGATCTTACCGTTTTTAAGGCCTTGCTTTCTGTATGCAATAATGCTTTCTTTCCGTGAAAAAACTCTAGTTTTGTTTACTTCCAATTGCACTCAATTTTTGGGGCTGCACTCTTAAGGGCCTGAGTGTGCTCTTTGCACCACGGCATTGGACTATTTTATTTAATCTTATGTAAGCGCAAAGGAGCAACTGTGTTTAATGTGCTGGAGGAGTCAATAGTTTCTGTTGCAAAATTGAGTTCTGAGCTATCTGGGATGCTGAGGAGATTAAACTGATCAGGTTCTATAAACAAGATTATTTATAGAAGTACAAGTGATAGTTCTACCATATTTGTAACAGGTAGTCGGCTTTGTAGCCTTGGCTAAACGGAGTATACACAAATCTAGATAGTGATCTGAGATGTCATCGCTCTGCTGCAGAATTTCAACAGCATCCGCATTGATTCCATGTGATAATATTAGATCTAAAGTGTCCTATTTAAGGGTATAGGGGGCTATTTCAGACGTAGCCTGGGCTTCAGCTAATGTGCTGCTCATTGTGCTTTCAGTACAGCTGTATGTCATACAGGATATTATGCTATAAATGCATAAAAGCATAATAAATGGCACAGTGATAACTACACCAGTGGTCTATTTAACACCCAGTGTCAGTCTTTTTATTTCTCCCACTCTAAAATAATTATATATTCTGTCTTCAACAAAGAACATAAATGTCTTTCTATTTCAGTTTTCACCTTTAGCTATTATTAGACAGGAATTAAAGACACATATGACATATAGCAGCACAATGATCATTCTCTCTAATGGGCTGATTATATAGTGATGTGATGCACAGTAGAGCAGAAATCATACAGAAAGAATAAAACCGTTCGCAGTGTATTTACGATAGACTTTTTCCAACATCCTGAGAAATGTCATTTCGCTGACATCTTGTTAACAAATAAAAAGAATACTAACTAAAAACCAAACAAAAATCTTTCAGCCTGATTTTAATGCTATATAGTACAATGATAAAAGCTTCAGCCATTATCAAGATATGAAAATTTGATGCCCATTTATGTATACCTATTGCAGGTTTGCAAGTTTGCAACTGATTAATGTTTATTCACACCCACAGAAATGATTAGGCCTATATGGCTCCATATGACTTGTGTAAGTGCTAACAGTGCAAACACATCTAACAGCAGACTGTAAACAAAACAAACCTTGATTTTCAGTCTGATTTGAAGTTCCAAACTCTCCTGTTGCTTTATATAGTAAGAGTCATGTGGGTATTAGCGCAAAGCTCTGTTCTGATTGGCTGGAGGAGAAAGTGGGTGGAGCCTTTCCGTATATGAATGAATGCGCAGGAACATTTCAGAATCTATAGACCTTACGTGCCTCTATATATTCTCTGTATATTTCTATGGCTTCACTGTCGAAGAGTAATTAACTGGTGGATTTACTTATTGCAGAGTTAACGAAAGTTACCATGGGCATTGTAATGTTTGAAGCGGGAGACATAACAAATACCAGTAGACCGGGAAGATTTTAAAACAAGCTGTTTATTCATAAATCTGTAAGATCTTTTCTTCATGCTGAACACAATTAGCGCAGCGCTGAAAAGGAGCGGGGCTACAGTACATAAGGTCTATAAATAATAATAAGTGCATGTGATTCCACAAAAGTAAACCTCATTATATATATATATATATATATATATATATATGCAAATCTCATTTTGTTTTGTTTTTGAGGCACCATACATTTATTTGTGGATTTGAAACTATTCTCACCCATAACCCTACACCTAGAAGAAAACTTGGTAACACTTTTCAATAAGGTCCCATTAGTTAATATTAGTTGATGTATTACTGTAACTAACATTAACAATGAGAATTACATTTGTTACAGTGTTTATTAATCTTTGTTAACGTCAGTTAATACAAATACGAATGTCCATGCTAGCTCAGCAATATTAATATTGACTGAGTTTAATAATGTATTGGTACATGTTAAAATTAACATTAAACAGGATTAATAAATCCTTTAGAAATATTGTTATCCTTTAGAATATAACCATTGCAGTGAACAAATTCAACCTTATTGTAAAATAGGTAACACTTTACAATGTGGTCGCATTAGTTATTGTTAGTTAATGCTGTTATAATGCTGTGTTGTAGAATACACATAAACACAAGGATGAAGGCAAAAGGCAGTAATAAATCCACAGGCAATAATCCACACGAAGAGAACAGCTTTCAACACATCTAACATTATAAGGATGAAATCAAATTACCAACCATGACAACGAACTCAACCGGGGAAAAGTCCAAACAAGTCCAAACTGAGTTTGATTGCAACATTAGTTAATGCATTAATTTAAATGAAAAAATATTTTGTATGCACTTTTTAAAGGCTATGGGGTTGCAGTTTTTGTGATGTACCAGGTTATGACTATCTTTTGCTTATTATACATTTTTCTGTTTTCATTTTTTAGGTTTTTGGTTGGAATCTTGATATGTTCTGTTTTACTATGTGTGTATTTTGCTCTACTTGTGAAGCACTTTGGTCAACATTAGTGTTATTTAAAGGTGCTATATAAATAAACGTTTGACCTTGAACTTAAATAGTATTAAGTCTGCTAAAATTTACAAGATTAATAAATGCTTTAGAAGTATTTTCATTGTTCGTTCATGTTCTTCTAATGCATTACCTAATGTTAACAAATGGAACCTATTGTAAATTGTGACCGAAAACATTAATGAAACTATGATTTGAGCTGTATGAATTTCGTTATTATTCATTTTTACCTTGTCTCTGAAAGGACATTTTTCTTTCAGATGTAGCTCACTCCTAGGGACAGTTTTATCCACAAAATAAACACACACACACACACACACACACAGACGGGAGAAAACGTCCTTGAGGATTAAAGATAAAATGAAGAGCGGAATAACGATAGAAAAGATTAAAGAAGAAAAGAACACAGCACTCCAGGTCACTCGTGGGACATTTCTAATGTATTTCCAAGCGAGATTTTACATTCCGCACACACGCGTCTCTGTTTGCTGGCATTAAAATCTCATTCTGCCTGACGGAGGCTCGTATGAAGTAATCCACGTTCATAACCTGCAGAATAACTCCTGATTCACTCTCTGCGGATGCTAATTAAAGGCGGAATTACGAGGCAGGTGCTCGCGGCGTGTCCGTCCCGCTCTGAAGCACTACAGAGGACGGAGGGATGTCGTCATGTAATGATTCTCTGATTCAGGGTCAAAGATCACATGTTATCCATTTTTTACATCCAATGTACATCTTGTTTGGAATTGCATACTAACACTCTTATCTTATTATTAGTGCAATAAATAGCACATGTTCTGTGTATAATATGCACATTTTGGTAACACTTTATTTTATAGTGTCCTTGTTACACGTTACATGTACGTTCTGTTGTAATAACCATAAATTGTGCATAATTACAAGAAACTTAACCCAAAACCAAACCCTAACCCTGGATTATATAGTAAGTACATGTTGTTAATGCAATTAAAATTTGCATTAACTAAGATTAACTAAGTATTGTTCATTGTTAGTTCATGTTAACTAATGTAGTTAACGTTAACAAATAAAACCTTATTGTAAAGTGTTACCCATCAATGTGACTTGACTTTCAATACGCAACATAATAAGGTCATGTGACAGCACTGCACTGTAGTAAACTGCTGTTTGAAATCTTTCTCACTGCATTATGCATACTGTTTCACATACTACATTGTCCTGTGTGTGTGTGTGTGTGTGTGCAGGATGAGCCCACCACAGGTATGGACCCCAAGGCCCGCCGTTTTTTGTGGGACTGTATCCTCAGTGTGATCAAGGAGGGGAGATCTGTTATTCTCACTTCACACAGGTAACTAGCATACACCTTTACTCAGCTGTCTAAATGGGCTGTTCCATAGACTTCTGTTGTTTTTAAATGCAGCAACTATAACTTACGCTAGCTGAAATCTTCCTGCATTTTTATAGTTTGAAAAACGTTATATTTTTAGAATTTTTTTACAAATGAGGATGTCCCCAAAACAGTTTTTTTTTTTTTTTTTTTTTTTTTTTTTTTTTTGATTTAGCTTACTTCTAAGGTATACAATTGTCGGAATGTGGTTAAGTAGGTACAGAACTGGTACTGTAGATACATGCGCTCTGGAAAGTTTCATATTTGTCCAGTGTTTGACCTATCAAATGTCTTTGTATTCTTTTAAACCAATGTCTCATAACCCCCTCACCCAAACGCCCATCAATGCAGGCGTCTGTTTTATTGCACAACTTCCAGCCAATCAGAATTGAGTATTCAGATAAACCATGGAATAAGAAAAAATATAATAGCTTCAATAAAGCAACTCAGTGTTCCAAGTTCTAAAGTGACATTTTCGAATTAGTAACAGAGTCTTTGGCTCAACTGTTAAACTGTCAACTGGAGATTTGAATCTGTAGCAAAAGGAAGTAGCTTCACACACAAGAGGGGTTTTTAATACACACCGTTGTTTCTTATTTATTTACACACTTCCACACTTGACAGTGCCGTCAAACTGTTGTATAAACTCAATATCACACTTGTAGTTGTGCGATATGGCTCTATATAAGCACGGCTGTGATTACCTACGGCTGAACCACAGCAGTGCTGCTGATATAGAGCCATATCGCACTCCTACTTGTGTCATATTGCTTATATTAAAAGAATTTACTACTACCATGGTTTGCTATGGGAGAATAAAACACTGTATATTTCCATTATTATGTAATATAAATTCCTTTTTTATATTTGTCAAATCTCTTACCTAGTTATTTGGATATGACATTGAATCTCAGTTTAGTTCTCAGTTTAGCCAACATGAATTAAAAACAGATAAATCATATAATCAAGCATTATTGTAAATTACATATATTACATACATGTAAATCACATGCATTTCACCTCTGCTCTAGCTTGTTCCTAGTCTAACTTTATAATAAACATGACTTATGAGCGGATTTCATAAAGTTCAAATCTTCATGTCTAATGTACAGAGCATGTACTTCCGTCTCATACGTGAACCTTTATTATGTGAGTTATAAACATGACTTATGAGCGGATTTCATAAAGTTCAAATCTTCATGTCTAATGTACAGAGCATGTACTTCCGTCTCATACGTGAACCTTTATTATGTGAGTTACTGATATGTTTGTATGTAAACGGAAGGTCGCATCTTTCGCTAATTGATGCAATGTGTCGCTCCCTGGCAATATGACAGTTTAGAGATTGAGCTAATGTACGTTTGTCCCATGATTTGGCAGCAAATCGGTTTGTTTTTCTGACTCGGCCTCATTGGCTGGCTGTGCAGGTGAAAGGCTTTCATGTGCTTCATAATGAGTCTCATTTGAATGTGGTTGGAAGCGGATCCTGAGCTCTGGGGTTTCTGATGCTTTGATGGTGTTTCTCCAGAGATTCATGCTGAGGAACGGCCAGATTTAGATGAAAACAGTCAGTGGAAACCTTTCCTAATGCTGCCATGTGTTCAAATATATGTGTGTCTGTCTGCTTTCAGCATGGAGGAGTGTGAAGCGCTCTGCACGCGTATGGCCATCATGGTGAACGGACAGTTCAAATGCCTGGGCAGCATCCAGCACCTTAAGAGCAGGTGAGGGGATGGTGTGTGTGTCTGTGTGTGGTCCTGGTATTCCCTACGTTATGGGGACCAAATGTCCCCACCAGTATAGTAATACTAATTCTGAATTTGAGAAATTAAGGCTCCCTTTTGATTTTCTATTCGAGATTGTGAATTTGAATTGAATTGACAAACATGTGGAATCAAAAATGCATTGATAAAATGTACTAAATTGAATTCAAATAAGTCACAGTAGTTTTATTCCTCCATAAATAAACTTAATTCAAGATATCTCTTCACAATTCTTGTAGAAGTTAATACACACTTCCTGTTTCCCTTTTTTTTTACCAAAAAAAAGTTGGGGGTTAGTTTTACCTACAGTCACCAAACTCAGGACATGTGTTGTTCTCCTCGAGCCGGACAACTTTCTAATTTACGGTCATTAGCTCCGACCAACAGGAAGTCAGCTATTTTTGTTTGAATGTGGATTTTTTAATCAACCTCTGCATTTTTAACTACTGCTCCAAAGACCACAACTTTGTCACAATTTAGATTTTATTTAAAATATCAATTTTTCTGGCTTAACTGACTAGTAAACAGTTTACAACAGTTCCAGATCTCACTCTGGCTCTGTGTGTTTGTGAGAGTCTATTTTACACTCTTGATGGTTTGTAGTTTAACCCTTTCATTGCTGTGTAGTTTTGCCTGCATTACAGGATAAGATATATCTTAGCCTTTTTCTGTTCATTTGTAGTGCACTTAAAACGTTAGTTTAATATTTAGGTTAATAAAAATAATTTAAGAGAGAGAGAGAGAGAGAGAGAGAGAGAGAGAGAGAGGGAGGGAGGGAGGAAGGAAGGAAGGAAGGGAGTTCTTGACAAGAGTTCTATAACATTGTTTTTAAAGAATTGAATTAAAAATATGTCAATTAAATGTTCATCTGCATTTACTGTGTATAGTAAATTAATGTTAAATATAAATTACTTTTGTTAAGGGCGGTGTCGGTCAGCGTGATAACTGGCCCATGGCAGTAAGCCAAACTTCTCTCAAACGTCTCCTTTCGGATGGGATTATTAACGTTACTTTCTTTCGTTCACTTAATCCCTGTATTTGCATCCTTTACAATGGCAAAGGAGAAAAACACTATCTCATTAGTTTCTATCTTTATCTCACGTCAAATTACATTTTTACACAGTTTGTGCTTAATGGGCTCTGTCCTGCTCGTGTCCCACAGACTTCTCAAAGCGCAGAGCAGGATACAACGAAACATTTATCTTTGTGGGGAAATATAATTAAACTTGGCTTGCTTCCAAAATTTCATGTAATTTCTAATGCTTTCCATGTTCAAGGACCTTGCCTATTGTTTTTTGTTTTTTTATTGCACTTTTATGCATAACCGTCGGTGGTTGGTCATTTTGTTGCATTTTTCCAAAACAATACCATTTCTAACTGTCAAAAACAGTTTCATGACTATTTGTTCCATTTTATGAAATTTATCAGGAATTTTGTAATCAAACATTAGAGAAATAAGGCAACCAACTAACAGAATTGATGTTTCAGCATTTTATAATTTAATATGCTTTTACTTTAATTAAAATTGAAATGTTTGAGAATAAATAAATGCACCCTTGGTAAACATAAGAGACTTCTTTCAAAAACATTGCAAATATTACTGACTACAAACATTTGAATGGCAGAGTATGCAGCACAAACTGTCCTGATAATATTAATATTCATAATACATTTCCATACTTATTAAATGAATCATTCAAAAGTTAAAATACCAACATAATCCAGGCCTTACATTTATTATGTGTCTGAATTTAGCTGCTCTCTCGCTCTCTTTGTTGTAATTAATGATTGTGGAGGTGTGGGCATTAATGAGTGAAGAGGCAATTAAGAGCTGCTCCCTTGATCGACCTCCTCCCTCTCTCTCCTTTATCTTTTCTTTCCGTGCCGTCTAATGGAGCAAAGCAGTGGGACAAGATCTACACCTCTCCGTCAGCCAACGATTCTCACTCCGTCTGCAGCCATTCTTTATTTAGTCCTTCCCCTGTTCTGTCGCTTCCCCTTTCTTCATCGCGTTCTTCCTCCTGCGGCGTGTTTCTGCTGCCATCTGTAGGACGCCGTCACTCATGCTGCGTTTACGGGTCACAGTGTTCACTTCTCTCTACACACTCAGCAGGAAACACACTTCACTTCATGTCGTCAAACACAGACAACGCTTGAGTTGCACACGTTGAAGGCTTTCAGTGCATGATGTGCTTTAGTAAATAAATATAACTGGATGTATTTGACATGAACAGCATTTAGGAATAAATTTCTCTGTATACATTATTGCCAAGGGCGATAATATCATGATATTTGGCATTTTTATATGCATTGGCTGATATTTTTTTAATCACAGTTCAAATTATTATTTATTTATGTATGAATGTATTTTGGTAACAACTTTATAACAAGTGTACAGTTATAAATTACTTACAAATCATTATCAATTTATTAATTTATAGTTAATTCAAAGTTAATGTATTCTCTACATTGTTGATACATTACTAGGCTATATACAAATAGTGAGTTCTTTATTATTTGTCACTGTAATTAACACAATTATTATTGTTTATTTATAGCTCATAGAAAAGGAAATGTTAATTGGTTATTAGGAGGAAATAGCCTAGTTCTCACTTGAAAATGGGAAAATTTCATTAATTAAAACCAACTTTAAACCAACCTTTATTAGACATGAATTGAATTCATATTCAGTGTTCCTTAAAATGTTTACAAATACATTAAATCACACACAATTTATGTTACCATATGTTGTGCAACATATGACTCTCCACAGGCCTAATGGTTTTTATACTAACAATGTATAGACTACAATATATTAACTACAAATTAACCATAGACTCATTAACTAACAATGGACAATACATTTGTTACAGTGTTTATTCATCTTTGTTAACATTAGTTAATAAAAAAATCAACTGCTACTGTACATTTTTAGTTTGTTAGCTCAGGTTCATTAAATAATATTTACAAACACAACTTTTGGTTTTAATCATGTATTAGTAAGTGTTGAAATTAACACTAACTAAGAATAATACATGCTTTAGAAGTATTGTCCATTGTTAGTTCATGTAAATAGTGTAATTTTATATTAGCCAAGATATCGGTTGTAAGGCCAACAACCGTTTCCGATAAGCAGGTGAAGGAGTACTGCGTGTTCTGTCTTTTCAGCCAAAGTAGTTTAATTCCAATTTACTTCTATCTGACTCCATTTTATCGCAACCTCGAATTTAGTTTGGAATGCCAATTAGTTATTGGTCATTGATCATTTAGATGATAATATATCTAGACACTTGATTATTCTATTTAACTCTGTTGAAATTACACTCGTTCATTTGGAAACCAATGTCGCTTCTCGCTCCGGTGAACTATACTATTTAGAGGGGTGCGCTCATGCTTGCTCTCTCTAAAAGTATTTTGTTTAGTTCCCATAGATCTGTGTACACTTGAATCAAATTTGTAACACTATCTCTAGTCAGAGGTCATGGCCACTACTACAGATATAAGCCGACCAATATTAATTCTCTGATAGTAGCTTTGGTTTGATAATGCCATGGTTTCCCAAGAGATGGGGGAAGAGGGGATGAAGGGAAAGAAATGTAGATTAAGACAATACTGAGGTGATTGACACAATGTGATTGTGTCTCGGATGGGGATGCTAATTTTGCAAGAGAGAGTTCAAATGTCCATTGTTTTCTCAGAGTATAGTCCTCTCTTGGTCCAGACAGTTCGGCATCAGTCTTACAACATCAACCATCAAAAAATCATATCACTCGACCACTAGAATATTTGCTACGTGTATTTCCTAAAGCAATCCGTGTTGTTGGTGTCAGTGCTGCTGTTTGAGTGCTGATCTAAACTCTTTATTGTCTCCACTCTTCACATGATTGATACAGCAAAGTGAGGGCAACTTTGTCTTTGTCTCCGCTGACATTTTAATGTTGATTCCTCTTTATAGTGAGTGTGCTGTAGGTGTTGTAAGTGGATGAGTTATGCTCGTCTTGCTCTTCCCACCCTCATTAAAAAAAAACTAATACAGGGACAGTTTGAAGATGAGATGACTGATTTCGAGAATCTGTTCCATTTTATTTAAAACAATACAATCTTGTTTTGTTTGCAAGTCAAAATCTTATTCTACTACATACTGTAAAGTTCAAAATTTGGGGTCGGTAAAGTCTCTTTATGTAAAGTCTCTTGTTTCTCGCCAAGGCTCCATTTGTGAGATCAAAAATGCAGTAAAAACAGTAATATTGTGAAATATCATTGCTGTCACGTCTGGTTGCAGCTAAATGAAATAAAAGTGCATGATTTAATTGCTGCAGTCTTCTCTTTATTAATCAAAACAAAATACTCTGTAATCACTGTCTTGAACCAACAGAACAACCAAACAAATCAAGATCAAACTAATCAACGTAATGAGACACAGCTGACATTACTAACCAGTGGTTACAATGAGTAACCAATGAGACTAACCAGAAGCAGGAAGGAACCAAAGAAAATAGAGAAAAACTCATAGTAAAACTCAAACAGAAAAAAAAATAAAACATAACCCTGCACAGATTTTCAAATGTAATTTATCCCTGTGATGCAAAGCTGAATTTTCAGCATTATTACTCCGGTCTTCAGTGTCACATGATCCTTCAGAAATCATTCTAATATGCTGATTTGCTGCTCAAGAAACATTCCTTTATTATCAATGTTGAAAACATTGCTGCTTCATATTTTTGTGGAAATCATGATTTTGTTCAGGATTATTTGACGAATAGAAGGTTTAAAAGAACATCATTTATTTGAAACTGGACATTATAAATGTCTTTTGTAACATTATAAATGTCTTTACTGTCACTTTTTATCAATTTAATGTGTCTTTGCTTAAATAAGAATATTAATTTATTTCAAATCTTACTGTCCCCAGACCTTTGAACGGTAGTGTAAGTATAGTTTAAAGATTAGATTTTGAGAGCTGATTTTGATAATATTTTGATTTAAAAAAAACGTCCAAAAAAAGTTAATTTTATTACCAATACACATATCAAAAATACCATCGAACATTTAATCAAAATTCACTTGAATGTTGATCAAGACAGAGACAGTAATGAAATATATCTTTATTCATCAATACTGGTAAATATTTTAAACATAGTTTTAAGAAATTTTATTTCAAGATTTCATATATTTCATATCAAGATTTCATATATTTAGAAGAGCACATAATTGAAGAATGACTATATATTACATTAATTTGATTATAATTTTAGTAATGCAGATTGTCATACTCAAAGTGGTATATTTAATGATAAATGACTGTTTGTTTATTATTAAAATAAATTAGTGTAATAAACAATATGTATTCGTCCTAAAAAAGTCTTTCCCTACGTGACGTTGTGTAGTACTGATGTGCCCAATGACTGATGGCTACATTTATTCTTTTGGAATGATATATGTTGTTCACTTCCCGTAATCCGCCAAATGAGCATTAAGGAATCTCACTAAAAATGGCCAAAAACTTCTCTTCACATAAAGCCGAAACACTCCCGTGTAGCACAAACACGCAGACACACACCGGCCATCATAGTGTGCTTTTATTTTATTATTTTGAGAGCGAGTGGTTACTCCGATAAAATCATATTAATGCTGAGTGTGTTCATAAACACAAACCTATAGAGTAAACACACACACACACCTCTACATCTTCATCAGCTCCAAAACAAACATAATTAAACAGCTGTCCAATAAAAGCACCTGTAAGCCTGTCAGTCACCAATCAAATCGCTCCATTACTAGAGTCACCGTGCTTAGTGAGTGAGTTTTTCATACAATTCACACAGTCTGTCTGTGTGTGTGTTGATCTCACATATTTGTGTCTCTGTTCTTTAACAAGAAGGATGAAAGCACTAGAGTGCTTCTAATGCACGTCAGTGATGTTAAGAGCGGAGGAAGGTTTTATAAGGCCAGCGACATTTTGCAACAATCTACTGCTGCACACTTTACACAGACTATAAATCTGCATCTACTTTTCACAGATTCACTGTTTTGAAGGATGAAAATGTAGACGCTGTTTCTCTCTGCTGCGTTAGAGGAGCATGTGTAACACTGCAAACCCAAATGACTATTTCTTTTATGCAATGGAAAAGGAGGGATGTTGAAAAAAGCTGCCATGTTTTAAGTAAATGTGAGCTAAAGAACTACACTGTAGTGTATGCTAATTGTGTTATATTGTTAAATTATTCTCAAATGATACTGTCTACATGTCTTCTGAAGCCATAAATGGAAGTCAGTTTAGGCCACAAAATTAAAAAAAGAGTAATTGCAACTATTTCTCACAATTCTGAATTAGCATTTTGTAATTCTCAGAGTTGAAACTTTTTATCTCACAATTATTTTTATTTCTAGTCATTTTGAGTTAACATCTCGTAATTCTGATTTTTTTTTTTTTTTCGCGAAATTGTGAGTTTATTACAATTATTTATTTCTCACAATATTGAGCCATCAGCTTGCAATTCTGATGATATCTCACAATTCTGACTTATTTTTCTTTTAAAGGAAGCCTAGTTTTATGGATTAAAGGATCAACTCGCAGTTCTGAGGGAAAAAGTCATAATTACAAGATGGTAACTTAGAATTTCGAGAATTAAAGTCAGAAGTGTAAGATGCCAACTCAGAATGCAGAAAATAATAGTCGGAATTGCGAGATGTTAACTTAGAATTCCAAGAACGAAAGTCAGAATTGTGAGATATAGAAACTCGCAGTTCTGAGAGAAAAAGACCAAATTGTTATTACCACAAATATTAGCACAAAATTGGGATTATTAGCACTTAAAATGAGAAGTAAATTCAGAGTTATGTGTAAAAAAAAAACTCAATTTTTTGAAGAAAAAAAGTCTGAATTGTGAGATGTCTACGTTTGTTTGAAGAGTTCAGCACTGAACACATTGCATCGGCATCCATACAGAAAGTAAAAGTTAAAAAAATAAAAAATAGTCCTGCTTTATCAGACCTAGTGCAGACACATCCCAGGAAACTTTTGTTTTGTGATTTGTGATGGATAGGCCTGATTCCATGTTGTGAATAAAGTTCATGCTCGTGTGTTTTGCAGGTTCGGGGAAGGTTACACACTGATCGTTCGTGTGTGTGCCGATCAGCCCGACATGTGCGTGGTGGAGTCATTTGTGCGGGACACGTTTCCTGGCAGCACTTTGAAAGAGAAACATCACAACACACTGCAGTACCAGATACCGCAGGGAGAGGGAACCCTGGCGCACATCTTCAGCCAGCTCACCAAACACCAGCAGATGCTGCGCGTGGAGGATTACTCTGTGTCACAGACCACACTGGACCAGGTAACACACACACACACACACACACACACACACACCTGACATACAGGTATGAGCATTAGATCTCGGATTTAAACATCAACAAAAAAAGAAAATACAGGCACGCATGTGCAAGTAAGGATGGGAATGATATCATAATGATTCTGCTTTAGATTCAGACTCCCTTTGTGAAAACAAGTAGCATACTTTTAAAGAGTACTTATTACAGAAAGAATAAGTGTGAACTGAATGTTATGTTTTCACACTGTAATATTAATTTACATTTACATTTATTCATTTAGCTGACGCTTTTATCCAAAGCGACTTACAATTGCTATATATGTCAGAGGTCGCACGCCTCTGGAGCAACTAGGGGTTAAGTGTCTTGCTCAGGGACACATTGGTGTCTCACAGTGGATTCGAACCCGGGTCTCTCACACCAAAGGCATGTCTTATCCATTAATTGCAATTAAATGAACTTAAATACATCTTTATATGTAATTCCATAATTACTTCTATTGGCTTTGAAATTTGGTTAAAGTCTAATCTGAACGTACTGACAAGCATTTATGGTAAGCTAAAATATACTTTAATGTAATTTCTTTTGAAACTTGTATGTCATATATTTAAATATATTAACTTATTTTGAATAACACATTAACATTATAACAGTTAAAATTATAAACTATAAAATGCATTACAACTGTACATTCATTACAATTAAGTGCACTTCTTTTTCACAAGATGCCATATTTAACATATTATGTATTATGTTAGATGCACAATAGTCATACATGACACAAAGGGCAAACAAAATGCATAAATTGTGTTTATTTTTGTCTAATCCAAATCAATTCTGATATATTTTAACTTTTAAAACAACCTATGGGCAATTTTTTTTCAGACTTGGAAAGGGAGATATTGAGTGTGGTGCACAGCCTTATCCAGTCTTCACAAATCTGAAAAAAGAATAATGTTTAGGCTATTAGATATAGCTAGCTAGGCTAGTCTATCTAACGATGTACTAAATCTAACTATCAAACCACAGCAAATACTTGCCTAATAAAAGTCAAAAGTTCTTAAGTAATCAAGTAAGCAGTCAGTAATAAAATAAGAATAAAGAAACAAATGACAATAGGACAAATACATACAATATAAAGATACAACCAGTACTGTTTTTTTCTGTTTTTGTTGATTAACATTAACACAGACAGCAGTGGGCATATTATTATTATTTTTATTTATTTTTTCACTTTAAGACCTCCAGTAATGAGCAGATTCAATACTGACACACATTCTAAAGGTTATTCTTTATTCTTTTCTCTTTTTTTACCAAAACTGTTTGTTCACTCAAGATATAACTGCCAAGATAGACATATTTACATAATCATGCGTGTATTTGACTGATCAATTGCTTCGGCCGGTTCTTGGAACTTATATATGTGACGGCAGGTGAGAAAGTGTTTCACACAGACCCCTCACTGACATCTGTATCCTCATGAAAATAATCCATTACAACTTTAAATAAATTAGAAATAATTTTGTGGTGAAATGGCGAATTATTATAATTTTGTGGATTTTGGAAAAACTGGATGGTCTGCCTTATATCATTGCAAACCTCTCCTGTATAACTTTCTTTTTTCTGTCTGCACACAAATGAAGTCAATGATCATTAAAACTGTTTGGTTATCAAAAATATATATATGGGGGGGGGGGGTCTTCTTCTTTTTTTCGGGAAAGTACCAAGCATGTGTGTATTTGACTGACACACTTGACATCTCTTTTCCCGGGCCTCCAGCTTCTCTTCAACTCCTTGATCTGCCGTCCTCAAACTCAGCACACACTTTACAGTAAACACTCGTCGACTCCAGTTAATCATCATTTGGCCGTCCTGTCAGTGTGAAATGCTTTAGTTTATCTTAGATATTATCTGCAGTTTCTGCTTATACAGTTTGTTTCTTGTAATAACGGCTAGTATATCCAGAAAATACACTCTACACCCTGGAAGTCCAGACTATCCATTGACGTCATACTCATAAAATTAGCACAATCTAACTCTGATTATGATCCCTAACACTTCCTTATCTATCCGAGTGCATTTCATCTGTGGTTTTCATATGCAGCAGGTCCCGTACTGCCATCCAACGTCTTGTGAGAAATGAATCACATGCCAATATTGCTGGCAACTGTGAGACACAATGAGCTGACGCTGAGGACGATGGCAGTACGACCCAGTTAAAGCTGACACTTGATGGGTTACTAGCAGGGTTTGAAATGAACTTTTTCTCTCACCAGCCAGTATGGCTGCTAAATTGAGTTTGTGGAATTAAAAATTGTGCAATAAAATAAAATGAAACCAAAACTAATTTCTCAGTGACTTTCACTGCACAGAATTGATTCCGTTGTAGTACATTAAAAGCAATGCATTTGAAAGAAATGACGCTATGATGTCAGATAGATCAAGCCACTATTTGTATTGGGTAGAAACGACACAGCAGAAAAAGACAATGTCTGCTTTGTTGAAAATAACTAAAAAGCAGTTTTAATATTTTGAATAGCTTTTATTTTTTATATATTTTAGTTTTCATGTTAATTTTAGTTTAATTTTTTAATCACTTTCTTATATGCTTTTGTCATTTTTTTACTTGCTATTAAAAAAGGCCTAATTTTATTTGGTAACACTTCCTTTTTACAGTCCTGTTACCCATGTACTTACTATGTACTTATTATAGTAACTATAATTACTGGGTAATAACTAGGTACTAACCCTGAACCTACCCCTAAACCTACCCCTAACCCATGTACTTACCTTATATTAGCCAGTACTTTCTAGGTAAGTACACTGTAAGTACACGTAAGTACTGTACTGTAAAATGAAGCGTTACCTTTTATTTTATTTCCATTTTAGTTTAGTTATAGTTTTAATTTATTTGCAGTTAATAATTTTGGTGATTAAACTTAAACTAGGCAACATTTCTCATTTTCATTTCGTTTTTCCACTAATATTTATATTTTATTTTATTTCAGCTTTATTTCAATTTACAGAAATGTTGTATTAATGTATACATAGTTTGTTTTAGTTTACAATAACCCTACCATAAGGACACTGAGATCATGACATTACAATTTGAATCTAAGCAGCCATTCATTTTTTCTACCTCAGTTGACACGTTTCTCTCTGTTTCTCTCAGGTTTTTGTGAATTTTGCGCGGCAGCAGCGTGATGCAGAGGACGGGGTGTTTGAGAACGTTGTGGATCTGAGTGATGAAATACAAATATCAGCAACATAAATCAAATATCAATCAGCAGTTGCAGGCACTTTATCACGGTTATTTTTTATTTTATTTTTACATCATGTAGGCCATCAAGATTTGATGATTTAGTTTAAAACATCCAACCAAAAATAGAGAGAAAACCTTCAGCAAAACTCAGGGGTCGTTTTTATACAATATTTTTATCCAAAGAATTTATAATGAAATATCTGCTTAATTTGCACTGCGTAACATTAAATACTCCATATATTTACTGATGACTTATTTCCACAAACATTATATTTTTGTCATATGCTATGAGATTATATATGTAAAATTGCATTGTGTACTGTAGCAATATACCAAAGAACTAATAATGATCTAATGGTGATTTTGGGTTTATTAGAGGAAGAACGGAGAGAAATTTCAGCTTTATTGTCAATTTATTTTCTAGTTGTCAGTTGTACTTATTGAAAGACCATATGCATTGATTTTTTCTTTTGTATCTCAGGATAAAATGTCATGCACTTTAGAGCAGCGTTTCCCAACCTTTTCTGTCTTATGTACCCATAATACCACGTCAATAAGGCTCAAGTGTATTTATTTTATACTGCAAGTCATATTTTCTGTTTTATAGATTTGTAGGTAACACTTTACAATAATGTCCCATTAACGCATTAAGCAACACATTTGCTTAAGTATTTCTGGTAACACTTTAGTTTAGGGGTTCAATTCTCAATTTTAACTATTGCTTATTAGCATGATATTACTAGGATATTGGCTGTTTATTAGTACTTATAAAAGCACATATTAATGTCTTATTCTGCATGACCACATTCTACATATCTTAATCCTACCCCATACCTAAACTTAACAACTACCTTACTAAAATTAATAATTAGTAATTTGAAGCTTATTGAGGCAAAAGTCGTTAATAGTGAGAATTGGACCCCAATCTTAAGTGTTAGTTATCTTAACATTCGTTTAAAAAAAAAAAATACAACTGTTCATTGTTAGTTCATGCTAGCTGGTCCATTAAATAATATTACCAAATGGAAGCTTATTGTAAAGTGTTACCGGTTTGTACAAGCAATTATTAAAATCAGTTGTCTGTGGTTAGGATTGACTGTTTGACGTGTCTGTAGGAAACACACTTTTGTAGGACAGAGAGGGACGGGATATATGCAACATGAAATGCAATGAATTTTTTTTTTTACCTCAAACACACACAGCAGATCTCAGCACTTATCCGCTCTTAATCATGCCATTTATTCTGCATTCATATGATCCTATGAGTCTGCTGCTCAGATGTGTGTTCTTATTGCTTTATACACTCTCTGACACGCATTAAACATTTGCACACTCTGCAGAGCCTCCGAGTTTCATTTCACAGATTCAACATTTCCTACTGCAGTCAGATCCAAAGACACTCACTTCAGCTGTTTTCTCTATTTCTCACTGTTCTTGAATATCATTTCATTGAAGTTCCACACTATTACAACTTCCAACTAGGAGCTGGTTCATTCCTGTAATGAAGTACCTTTTAAAAAAAAAAAAAAAAAAAAAAAAAACTGTATATGCTTGTGTTGAATGCCATATCAAGAAGAAGAGACTTTGTGAAGTCACTCACACAGGCCTATAATTGCACAAATGATGCTAGCCACTGTAAGCTGATGTTAAATGTCGAGGTTGCATTTAACTTACCCATTAGTGAGAACAAGTTCTCTTTTATGTAAAAGCACTCAAGTCTCGACTAGGAGAGAGTTATAAAATTGCATGGGATGGGAATAATATTAAATGAGAGAGGAAACTATTTTAATCCTTTTGTGATTGAAGTCTCTCAAGGGAATGCAATACAATTAAAAATTGCCAGAGGGATGCTAATGTTTCTCTCAAGTGAATGAGAAAGCGTTAAAATATTATTTTTTCCTCTCCCATCTCATATTTTTCAATCACCATATCCCCTTAGGGCCTCCATACAGGTGAGTTTAATGTACATCAGGAAAAAATCTTACTTAATTAGAAGAGAATCCCAAAAAAGTGTAGGATTTTTGTAAATGCCCTCTACACAGAGATTTAACGTTTTCATGTACAATTATCAGAATATAATTATATGCAAATTCAGTGTTGATGCATTAAGTTTGTCAAATAATATTCAAGAACCTTGGAGTCTTGCATTTTCAGTATTTCTTCTATTGTCAAGGGCCCATGTGTATGGAGCCCCTAAGGGGACATGGTAATGTGTGCGTGTTTATATTTAGATATATACAGGTGAAACTCGAAAAATTAGAATATCGTGCAAAAGTTCATGTATTTCAGTAATTTAAATAAGAAGGTGAATCTAATATATTTAGTATATATAACTATATACATATGCATGATTATACTTTACAGAGGGCCGACATTTCTGTATTTAAAAAATCCTTTTTTTTTATTGTTTTCATGTGATATTCTAATTTTCTGAGATTTTGAATTTGGGGTTTTCATAAACTGTAAGCCATAATCATCAAAATTATAACTTTTGCACGATATTCTAATTTTTCGAGTTTCACCTGTAGGTTCCCTTTCAAGGGAACTCGTGCTGCATCGATTGACGCTGAGGGAACGCTTTGCGTGATGTCTTGAAACACATGTGAAATCAGTCCAATAGTGTGGCGGAACGTCAGAGGCGGGTGACATCACGAACCAGGAAACTATAAAGCCTGATCAAAATACAGCAGCACTAGCTAGTTTCAGTAGCGCTCAGTGTGAAACTGTTTCTGTCTATTTGTTGTATTGTCTATATATATATAATATATATATATATATATATATATATGCATGCAGGTCCTTCTCAAAAAATTTGCATATTGTGATAAAGTTAATTATTTTCCATAATGTAATGATAAAAATTAAACGTTCATATATTTTAGATTCATTGCACACCAACTGAAATATTTCAGGTCTTTTATTGTTTTAATACTGATGATTTTGGCATACAGCTCATGAAAACCAAAAATTCCTGTCTCAAAAAATTAGCATATTTCATCCGACCAATAAAATAAGTGTTTTTAATACAAAAAAAAAAAAGTCAACCTTCAAATAATTATGTTCAGTTATGCACTCAATAGTCAATACTTGGTCGGGAATCCTTTTGCAGAAATGACTGCTTCAATGCGGCGTGGCATGGAGGCATTTATGTTATAGATTGTACATGGTCCCTAATAAATAAATAAATTTAAAAAAAAAGAAAGAAAAAAGGCAATCAGCCTGTGGCACTGCTGAGGTGTTATGGAGGCCCAGGATGCTTCGATAGCGGCCTTAAGCTCATCCAGAGTGTTGGGTCTTGCGTCTCTCAACTTTCTCTTCACAATATCCCACAGATTCTCCATGGGGTTCAAGTCAGGAGAGTTGGCAGGCCAATTGAGCACAGTAATACCATGGTCAGTAAACCATTTACCAGTGGTTTTGGCACTGTGAGCAGGTGCCAGGTCGTGCTGAAAAATGAAATCTTCATCTCCATAAAGCTTTTCAGCAGATGGAAGCATGAAGTGCTCCAAAATCTCCTGATAGCTAGCTGCATTGACCCTTCCCTTGATAAAACACAGTGCACCAACACCAGCAGCTGACATGGCACCCCAGACCATCACTGACTGTGGGTACTTGACACTGGACTTCAGGCATTTTGGCATTTCCTTCTCCCCAGTCTTCCTCCAGACTCTGGCACCTTGATTTCCGAATGACATGCAAAACTGAGCAACAGTCCAGTGCTGCTTCTCTGTAGTCCAGGTCAAGCGCTTCTGCCGCTGTTTCTGGTTCAAAAGTGGCTTGACCTGGGGAATGCGGCACCTGTAGCCCATTTCCTGCACACGCCTGTGCACGGTGGCTCTGGATGTTTCTACTCCAGACTCAGTCCACTGCTTCCGCAGGTCCCCCAAGGTCTGGAATCAGTCCTTCTCCACAATCTTCCTCAGGGTCCGGTCACCTCTTCTCGTTGTGCAGCGTTTTTTGCCACACTTTTTCCTTCCCACAGACTTCCCACTGAGGTGCCTTGATACAGCACTCTGGGAACAGCCTATTTGTTCAGAAATTTCTTTCTGTCTTTACCCTCTTGCTTGAGGGTGTCAATGATGGCCTTCTGGACAGCAGTCAGGTCGGCAGTCTTACCCATGATTGCGGTTTTGAGTAATGAAACAGGCTGGGAGTTTTTAAAAGCCTTAGGAATCTTTTGCAGGTGTTTAGAGTTAATTAGTTGATTCAGATGATTAGGTTAATAGCTCGTTTAGAGACCCTTTTCATGATATGCTAATTTTTTGAGACAGGAATTTTGGCTTTTCATGAGCTGTATGCCTGCCAGGGTTGAGTGCAGGTTGCCGAAGACGATGACATGAGAACTTCAATATAGTTGATTTATTAACAAAACTCAACTTACAGAAATAAACAGGAACAAAATAACAAATGCCAGGACTTCAGAGAACACACAACCATACATCGACGACGACCAACAAACACTGAGGGAAAACACAGGGCTTAAATGAACAGGGACTAATAGGATAATTAACTGAACACAGGTGAAGGGAATTACTAATCAGACAGAGCGGGAAAACTAACAGGACTAAACCAAAATCACAAAGACAGGGGGAAACCAGATCACAAAACTGAACTAAACACACTGAAAACGTGACAATGCCAAAATCATCAGTATTAAAACAATAAAAGACCTGAAATATTTCAGTTGGTGTGCAATAAATCTAAAATATAGGAAAGTTTAATTTTTATCATTACATTATGGAAAATAATGAACTTTATCACAATATGCTAATTTTTTTAGAAGGACCTGTATATGTAATCCAAAAACTATGGCGAGCAAACAGCAATTTAGATTGTGTGTGTGCACCCCTGCCCGGGTTAACCAATGGGTGGGGACACACACATTCTTTGGGTTGATTGTTTGGGTGAGGAGCATGAAAAGTCAGCGCTCGTGAAAACTGTGAGCTTCCCATGCGGACGTTCCGATCCCGCCTCGCGTTCTTTCACGAGGACGCTCAATCATCTCACGTCCCCCAGGGCTCGGGTCAACTTCAGACTTGG